GATGCTACTATGTCTCTACGAATCCCCTTTCCACTCTGAGAACGAGACAAAATACCACCCAAAAGATCATAACGGACCAATTTTCCAGTTGTTTTGTACTTCACAACTAAAAAGGAGAAAAAATGTCTACAACTGCAACAAACACCTGGACTCTCAAAAAAAAGGGATAAACAACCCAAAGAAGGAAAGCATCTGCGCTCCCAGTGGACTGGGCAACCTAGTCACTAAGCATTGTCACAAAGAGCAGTGGGAACTGCATCCTCCACAGGTCCCAACCTTCCATTTTCTGCCCCCCAGCATCTCACAAGAGAAGGGCCAGGCCTCTGCTTAGACAGCCAGGCCCTAGGCCAAGCATACTTGGTCTAGGAATGGCACTCCTTACTAGCTGTGTATCCAGCAGCCACTAACACCCTCCCCTCCTCTACACTCAGCTTTGTTCATCTCCTGCTGGACTGCTCTCCTCCAAACTCAGTTCTATCAAGGGAGTCCTCACAAGGTTTCCTAAAAAGAAGCCTCAAAGCCTAACCAGTTGGCCTCTTATCTGACATCAAATACTGAGTAACCCCAATCCCTGCCAGTAGTAGCTATAACATCCTTTAGACAGAAGGAAGTCTTCAGGAGAAAGCCCTCTGCCCTAGGGATTGAAGGGCACCTGTGGCTCTCACTGCCCAGGCCTGCCCTCTCCAGCACCCTTCCTTGGAGGAAGGACTTGGTGGTTGGGATCCTCTCTCCTTACTTACCCCACTTCAGAATGGCCAAGGCTTAACTCAGCATTTAGGACCAACTTGAGAAAGGAGAGTCCTACAAACGTACTTTCACTACGTTCTAACTAAATCTAGTGTTTCACACACTGAGTGTAAGCCAATAAGTGTCTCTGAAGTGCTGCAACCTAATTCAGAAACCTTGTGCCCACCTCTACCCCCTGCAGTTTCTCATCAAAGGTGATCTGTGCACAGTAATTTTTTAAAAAGTAACCTTCGGACAGGTGCTGGTGGCTCAAGCCTCTAATCCTAGCTACTCAGAAGGCGGACATCTTTAGGGCACTCAAAGAGAGCCCATACACTGAAGTCTATGACTTTTATCTCCTATTAACCACCAAAAGCCAGAAGCAGGGATGTGGGGATGTGGCTCAAGTGGCAGGACTCCAGCTTTTAGTGAAAAAGCCAAGTGAAACTTTTGTTTTTTGGTCGGTCATGGGGGCTAGACTCTGACCCTGGGTGCTGTCCCTCAGCTCTTCAGCTCAAGGCTAGCGCCCTACCACTTGAGCCACAGCACCACTTCCGGCTGTTTTCTGCTTATGTGGTGCTGAGGAATTGAACCCAGGGCCTCATACATGCAAGGCAAGCACTCTACTGCTGAGCCAACTGCCCAACCCCAAACAAAACCTTTGAGTTCAAGCCCCAGTACAAAAAAAAAAAAAGTAACCACCATGGATGGGCTAGGAATGTGGTTCAAGTAGCAAACACTTGCCTATTCAGTTTAAGAGTTCAAACCCCAATATCAACAAGTAAACAAAGTAACCATTTTCACTTGTAATGTGTTCATTGAAGGTACTGTTAGCTGGGTACCAGTTGCTCAAGCTGAAAATCCTTGTTACTCAGGAGGCTGAGATCTGATCAAAGCCAACCAGGGCAGAAAAGTTCTGGAGACTCTTATCTCTAAAGAGAAGTGGATCTTTGGCTCGAGTGGTAGAACGCTAGCCTTGAGCAAAAAAAAAAAAAAGCAACAGGCCAGGCATCAGTGGCTCACACCTGTAATCCTAGCTACTCAGGAGGCTGAGATCTGAGGATCACCATTCAAAGCTGGCCCAGGCAGGAAAGTCTGAGACTCTTCAATAAACCACTAGAAAACTAGAAGTGGTGTTGTGGCTCAAGTGGTAGAGCGCTTGCCTTGAGCTGAAGAACGCAGGGAAAGCACCCAGGCCAAGTTCAAGCCCCATGACTGACCAAAAAAAAAAAAAAAAGGGAATAGGGCCCAGGCCTTGAGTACTAGCTCTAGGACTGGCATTAAAATAGTAAATAAATAGTTTGCTATGGTTTGAATGTCCTAGAAGTTCACATTAATATTTGGTAGAGGAAGACTTTGGGAGGCAAACAGGATTGGATGCTGTTATAAGGTGAAGGCCTCATGATGGCATTCTTGGCTTTTCAAGAGGAAAACCTGAACTGCCATGAGGCTTGGATGGCTCATGCCTACAATTCTAGCTACTCAAAGAGGCTGAGAGCTGAGGATCACAATTTGAAGCTAGACCAAGCTACAAAGCCTGTCAGACTCTTATCTTCAATTAACCACCAAAAAGCTGGTAGTGGAGATGTGGCTCAAGTGGTAGAGCGCTAGCTAAGAACAAAAAAGCTCAAGGACAGTGCCCAGGTCCTGAGTTCAAGCCCCAGGACCAGCACAATATGAAACAAAAAACCCAAGCTACTTGTTCATGTCTCACCATGTGATGAGACCTCTGCCATGTTGTAATATGAAGACCATATCAGATCCCAGCATTATGTTATTGGACTTTCCAACCCCCAAACCTTTTAAAGAAAAAAAAACTTGTATTTTTTTACATGACTCAAATCTGTAGCACCTTTATAGCAACAGAAAATGGATTAAGACAAAGCTTATGGTACAAGAGGGTTAAGACTCACTGCTCAACCAATGGAAGCGAACTGTAGCTTCTTGGAAGTGAAGTAGTAACAGTCAATTAGGGATAATTCACCTAAGGGACAGAACAGTGGCAGGGCCCCCTCCACATGAACACCACAGGGCAGCAGGAATACCTGGCAAAGATCGGTCAAAGTACTCATAAAAACCTTAATACTACCAGTCACCCAAGTTTCTTGTATTCAACTCAAGATGGAAATCATAAAGAGGTTAATATCATCTGAATAAAGCCTTACCAGGGCTTATGCTAGAGAACAAGGGAGGCAACAATAGGATAATTCCTGGCTGTCACCTTGAAGAGGAATACTTTTATGGAGTTATCACCTCAGCAGTGGCAGAGTAGGGTTCTATACTGACATTTTCGAAGGAAGTATGTGGTATAAGTAGAGCCACACTAAGGTACATATTCTACAAATATTTTCTTGCCAGACTTTTTTTAAATTTTATTCCATCACTTCAAACTTCAAACGAGGTATTTGTGGGCAATATCAGCCTACTTACATTTTAAAAAGTTCCTCTTCATCTTCCTCCAGTGTTTTAATTTCTTGTTCAGGAAGAGAAACTATTGGCTCAAACTGGGGGTCATGGTTGGACTCGTCTGTATTCTCAGTGGAGGTATCATGATCCTCATGACTTTCCTGTGCAAGTAAGAGCAGAGAGATGATGCTGCTGGCCTAGGACCAGAGCTTACCTGGGCCTATAGTAGGTATCCTCAGTGATGAATGGCACCCAGAAAACAAGAACAGGCCTCGTCCCAAATTAGAAATCAGACTTTCACATCATCAAAAAGTTTGCACTCATATTCGGCCAAAAAAAAAAATCAAGCCACACTGATTTCAATAACTATCTCCCAGATTAACAAACATCAAGCAAACCCCGTGCACAGACTGGGGTTGCTTGCAAAGTGGTTTAGGAGAAACGCCCTCAGCTCTCTGAGCCCATTTCCTCATTGGTAAAACGAAGATGATACCTGCCAAATGAAGAACAAAGGACATGAGGAACTCCAGAGGAAAAAGCAATCGCAGGAGTTTTAGCAATGGGGAGCAATCCATGCCCTTGCTTACAAGGAGGGTAGTAGATACACCGATTGCTAGAATCTACATGGAATCCAAAATTCTAACAAGAATTTTTATTGTGACTCGAAAAATTAAGTTGATAGTTGCTAAGAAAAGTAGTACAAGCCTTACGATTCCGACCTAGTTTTAAGGTTTATAGAACACTAATGATCATATAACACACACACACACACACACACGTTTGAATCTTAGGGAACACGTGCTTTTAGTGATACAGAAGAAACCCCAGACTCGCTACCAAGCCCAAACTGGAAAATAAAACACACACACACTCTTTGCTAATCTTTCCTGTGGGTTTCATAGCACTGCGGCTGTACTGCGGCCGGCATCCGACCCGACAGGCACTAGCAGCCAACAAAGCCGCCCCCACCCCGGGTCGGTGCGTTCACCACCGGTCTCCAGCGGTGGAACGCAATCTTCCGCCACAGAGGCCGGTGGCTCCAGATTTAAGGATGGGATGAATGAAGTGCTGCGTGGGCAACCGGAGATTAGGATGCTGGGTCCGAGTGGGAAACCTTCAAGTGGGCTGAGCCAGAGGAAGCCGGTCTCCCGCTCGTGGCCCCAGCGAGAGGGGACCGCCCTATGTGGTGGTGGCTGCTCTCCGGCCCACCCCAAGGTCACGCGGGCGCCCACAGCCCTAGCAGCCAGAGCCTTTGCCCCAGGCCCTCCACGCCCCGACCCCCCAGGCCTCGAACCCCCAAAGCCCCGCGCGCCAAGACTCCCCGTTCGACAGGCCCCGAGCTCACAGGCCGGCGGGGGTTGGCGGCTGAAGCACGGGCCGCCCACGTGGCCGCCGATAGCGGCCCCAGCCCCCCGGCCCGCCCAGTCCCTGCCTGGGCCCAGCCGTACCTTGGTAGCCGCCATGGGGGCGCGGCGGCGGCGTCTCGGTTGTCTTGGTCGTCGCTGTCTCCGCGGCCTCTAGGCGACTCGTCGTAGCTCCTTTCCTCCTCGTCTGGCGCCGGAGCCTCCCGCCCGCCCGCTCTTCCCTCCGCCCCGCGACCCGAACCCTGACCCCTGACCCCGGCGGCGGGAAACGCGCCGTGATTCAAAACCAGTGCAGCTTTATTGGCTCACCCGGCGGACACTTTCATTGTCCGGCCCACCTCGCGCTTCCCGCCAAAAAGCCTGGGGCGCATGCCCAACCAGCCCGTCAACCCGGGGAGCGCGCTCTCCCAGAGGCCCCCGCGCGCACTTCCGTCCCCAGGCCGCGCACGTAGCTGCAAGGGGCTGGTGGAGGTGCCGGCGTCGGACTCGGTGCGTGCCGGTGACGTCATCGGAAGCCGGGACCATAGAGACACTCGCCCCCTCAGGCACGCGCTGGAGAGCTGGAGACCAAGGCAAGCAGCTAGCGCGGGCCGGTGGCGGGCGGACGGTGTGGCTCCGAGTCTGAGGCCTGGCTCTGAGCCGTAGGGGTTCGAGTCCCGCTCCTGCCCAGGGTGGCCTCACGGCTTCGCACCACTCTCTGATCATCTCACTCAGGAGGCCGTCGGCAGTACAGACGGCTGGCGGCGAGACAATGAGCGAAAAGCCGAGCGACGAAGTAAAGTGAAGGGAAACGCGGGTTCGACATGCGGTTAGGGTGGGACAAGGAATGGCGTGGGAGCCCTGTGGGAGAATATACGGAATGAGGGGACGCGCCAGGCAGGGAAGGGGGAAAGCGGGAGTGGAAGCCTTCAGCGTAGGCCTTGACTGTCCTCATGCAGGGCCCGGAACCTATGGAGGACCGCGGTCAGGATGATGGCAGTGCCGTGGGCAGCCCCGCAGTCCCCGCATCCCAAGAGTCGGGAGCAGAGCCTGGGGCGGCTGTTGCACCCGAGTCCCAGCCCGGACTCTACAGCTACATCAGGGGCGACCTGTTCACCTCAGAGATCTTCAAGTTGGAGCTGCAGAACGTACCCCGCCATGCCAGCTTCAGCGATGTCCGCCGCTTTTTGGGCCGCTTTGGCTTGCAACCGCACAAAACCAAACTCTTCGGGCAACCCCCTTGTGCCTTCGTGACATTCCGCAGTGCTACAGAGCGGGACAAGGCCCTGCGAGTGCTGCATGGGGCCCTCTGGAAAGGCCGTCCACTCAGCGTGCGCTTGGCCCGGCCCAAGGCTGACCCCATGGCCAAGAAGAGGCGGCAGGAGGGTGAGGGTGAGCCCCCCACAGCGCACATTGCCGATGTGGTGACCCCTCTTTGGACAGTTCCCTATGCTGAGCAACTGGAGCAGAAGCGGCTGGAATGTGAGCAGGTGCTACAGAGACTGGCCAAGTGAGTGGAACATGGTCCCCAAAAGCACCGGAGACCTGCTCCGATTTGCTCTGCCTGCATTGGGCACTGTGTGAGCCATCCACCACAGGGTCTAAGCCAGAAATATGAGCCGGCCAGTAAGGCTTTTAGGATACCAGTAAGGTCCCAGAGAGGGGCCTGGTGTGGGTTGGGACAATGGACAGAATCCAACCATTGGTGTACTTCTTATTACAGGGAAATTGGGAACACCAATCGCGCCCTGCTGCCCTGGCTGCTCACACAGAGGCACAAGCACAACAAGGCCTGCTGTCCATTGGAGGGGGTCAGGCCATCACCACAGCAGGTCAGGCTTGACTGGGGTGGCCACACAATCCTGTCTTGTGCTATTTTTTTACTTATATAGTACTGGGAATAAAACCCAGACCTTCACACATGCTAGGCACTTTATCTCTTTGTCTTTTGACAGCCCTATGGGGAAATTAAAAGTCTCCTTCACTGTGACCTTCTTTCCTGGCATGAGTGCTGGGCAGCCAAGATAAGGTCCACGCCTCTCTGTGCCTCCTTTTTTCCTCACAGACTGAATATCGTAATAAGTGTGAGTTTCTTGTTGGAGTTGGGGTAGATGGAGAAGACAATACAGTTGGCTGTCGACTCGGCAAGTACAAGGGTGGGACATGTGCTGTGGCATCCCCCTTTGACACTGTGCACATCCCTGAGGCAACCAAGCAGGTGGTAAAAGCCTTCCAGGAGTTCATCCGGTGAGGATCTGGGGACTGGGCTCCTGGGAAGTCTTGAGACCATCTGGGAGCAGAGGGAGAGGGTCCTGTCACTTTGGATGGGGAAGTGGGAGCATGGAGGCTGTGCCCCTCCATCCTCACTGGCAGACATTGCACACTCAGGGACACTCATGGCTCCCACAGGTCTACCCCATACTCGGCATATGACCCTGAGACATACGCAGGCCACTGGAAGCAGCTGACTGTGCGCACCAGCCGCCGTGGCCAGGCCATGGCCATCGCCTACTTCCACCCCCAGGTCTCAGGCGGTGGTCCTGCTGGGGAAGGAACCTGGCCTAGGGTAGCTTTGGCATAGCTTAATGGGCCTTTTTGTATTATCTGTTCCAGAAACTGAGTCCTGAGGAGCTGGCAGGGCTGAAAGCCTCTCTGGTGCACTACTTCATGGAGGGGCCTGGCAGAGCCAGCGGGGTGACCTGCCTTTACTTCGTGGAGGAAGGACAGCGGTGAGGAGCCCAGGAAGGGACATGAGGGATTCTTGAAGGGGCCAGTGACATTGACAGACCTGCCTTTCCATACATATAGAAAGACTCCCAGCCAGGAAGGCCTGCCCCTGGAGCATGTAGCTGGGGACCAGTGCATCCACGAGGACCTGCTTGGGTTAACCTTCAGGATCTCCCCTCATGCCTTCTTCCAGGTAGTCCCATGTCCCTGGGCATAGGATAGGGGGAGGGAGCACCAAAACACATACCAAAGCAGGATGGAAAAAGAGTAGGCTAGGGGACAAGGGCTAGCCTTGCAGGGATTTAGGGAGAACCACCACGTGCAAGCCAGTGTCAGGTACGAGATGAGAAAGGTTGTCCCTCCCTGATCGTTTACAACTATAGATATCCATAGCCATGATCCTTCTTGTTAGAGGTTGAAGAATGTGCACACTTTGGCAACATAGGACTCCACTCTGAATCTGATCGGGGGGCCTTGGCCTTATTCTAAGATAGGGGGCTGAAATCCTTTTAGGTGTGGCAGGATTACGGGAGGGCCATAGGTAGAGCTAAGAGGTACAGCCAACCCCCACCCCCATGGGAGGACAGAGGTGGCCTTTTAAGTCCCTTGGCCAGGAAAGCAGCTCTTTAAAATGGGGACAGGGTAGGAGGATTTGGACAGTGGCTGTGGTCACCAGAATGTGATGGAGGGTAGGAAAGAGTCTTAGCTGAGCTACAGGGGAGTGGGCCCCAGAGGACTCACCAGCATAGAGTCCAGGTATTGTGGAGTGCTGGCCTGCCTCCAGATTAAGGAGCGGAGGCCTGCACCTGAACACATGATGGCTGCCCCCCCTCCAGGTAAACACGCCGGCTGCAGAGGTACTGTACACTGTCATCCAAGACTGGGCCCAATTGGACAGGGAAAGTACAGTACTGGATGTATGCTGTGGTACCGGCACCATTGGCTTAGCCCTGGCCCAGGTGAGCCCTCTTGCCCTGCCCCTACTGACACCCAGCTTGAACATTCAGAGGCTGACCATCCTGTTGTACTTCTTGTTCCTTTCAGAAGGTGAAGAGAGTCATTGGGATTGAACTGTGCCAAGACGCTGTGGAGGATGCCCGGGTGAATGCCCAGACCAATGGTAAGAGCATGTGGGCTATGCCTACCTCAGCCTTTGCTCCATAAACCCATCCTGTGGTTCCAAGGGTACTAGAGGGTCCAGCTGACTTCCTGCATGCCTCAGTCAGAGTTGGGTGGGGAAGTATTCCCAATGACAGCTCTATCTTTTGTGTACAGAGCTGAGCAATGTTGAGTTCCACTGCGGAAAGGCTGAGGACCTGGTTCCTGCCCTGGTGAACAAACTGGGTTCCCAACAACTTGTAGCTATCCTGGATCCACCCCGAGCTGGCCTACGTGAGTGATTTACATTTAGGGAGGTAGCCTGCCAGGCCATGCAGTGTAGGGTCTTGAGAACTTAACGGTCTGTCTTCTCAGATTCCAAAGTGATTCTGGCCATCCGTAGATCTGAGAACCTCAAGAGGCTCCTGTATGTTTCATGCAACCCTAGGGCAGCCATGGGCAACTTTGTGGAGTGAGTATTGGGTGGAGTGAGTATTGGGCAGTCCTAGATGGGGACCAGGAACAAGTACCCTCTCCCAGGGGCCTCTGGGTGGTCTTATAAGTCTAACCTTGGCTGATCCTCTTCCTATCATAGCCTCTGCAGGGCCCCATCTAATCGGGTGAAGGGCACCCCCTTCCGACCAGTCAAGGCTGTGGCTGTGGACTTGTTCCCACAAACCCCACACTGTGAGATGCTCATCCAGTTTGACAGAATGGATTACCCTAATGGCACAGAGGCCCTAGGGCATGAAGACCCTCCACCTGAGCCTCCCCCAGAACCTCATCTTGACATTCCACAAGAAACTGGGGCCTCCTAAGCCCTGGGATCTGCAGAAACGAGCAGTTCCAGAGCAGGGTCCATCAAGGGAACAGAAGCTGGAAGATTTATAATCACATTTGCTTGAGTATGCAGTCATAGGGCACAAGGCCTTGCTGCCCAATCATAGATTAGCTGACTTGATGCTATGGGCTATTGCTCAAAAGATGGATGGACTCCTGGATCCTGTCTACCACCCCGAGTCTTTGTAATAACCAGCCTTGTGAGGGCCAAAATAAACAATTGCTTAAACTGTTTCTGTTGAAGAGAGTCAGAGCTTTGGTACACGCCACCTCCTGTTGGTATAAAGGAACAGGGCAGTACCTAAGTCATATCTTGGGTACTTGGGGAACTTCTGCATTTTGGCCATTCTGGCCTTCAGGTACTTCAGGCCTGAGCACAACCAGGAGGGTATGCTAGGTTGCTCAAAGCAGCTTGCCATGCCCCTCCCTGAAGAGTACAGGGAATCAGACCTTGGGAGTAGGTTACTTTTTTGGGGGGTGGGGAGAGGGTTGGTTGTAGGGCTTGGACTCAAGAGCCTAGGCTCTGTCCCTAAGCTATTTTGCTCAAAGCTAGCACCCTACGACTTTGAACCACAACTCTACTTCCTTCCTCCCCAACCCCAATCCAGGGCCAATTAGAGGCAAGAGTGACAGACTTTCCCTGCCCCATCTGGCTTCAAACTGTGATCCTCAGATCTCAGCCTCCTGAGTAGCTAGAATTTACAGGCATGAGCTGCTAACACCAGTGTTCTGTTGCTTTTTGTTGAAAAGGATCTTGGATTCAGCTGAGGCTGGCCGGGAACTCACAAATGTGCTTTGGCTTCCAGCATGGCATGGCACCTGACAAGGCTTGCTTCTTGGCAGGGAATGTAGTTTTATGTTTAATTCCAAGGAGAGACAAGAGATAGGATTTCAGGACCAGAGTAGATGGTACTGACCATGGGAGATTGCTCCCATCACTTGGCTGGCCTAGCCTTCAGCCCAGGAAGGAAGCCCTCAATGCAGTGACCACGACATGCCCAGATTGTGTTGAGTTCCCAAGGGACAGCTTTGTCTAACAGCACCCTTGGACAATTGAAGGTTCCCAACTTACCTGCCTCACTTCCCCTTCCGCTAATGATCAGAAGAATGAAACGACAGTTGTTCCATTTTGGACAATTTGATTTATATGTTCAGACCATCAAGACTCACCCTACAGCTGTAGCCCAGTGCACACAAACAGCAGTAGCACAGGCTCCCTAGTACCACAGCATGGCTGTGCACACAGAACTCACCCACATGGGGCAGACAGGGAGGACACGAGACATGGCAGCACCTGCCTTGTGGCCACAGAGGAACAACAGCCTCTAGGGTAAAGTGTGCACAAAGCTTTGGTTCTCAATGGTAAATCTGGCTGTTTTAAGGGCAACAGTCACAATCAACTGACTATTCACAGCTGCAGACAGGAGGCAAGACAGAAGCAAGTGTTATTACAGCAACTTGATTTTTTTCCCCCCAAGTTAACACAGAAGCCAACCTCTGTCACACAGGTGGGTAAGGGAAGGATATGCTGTGGGTGGTCCACAGCCAACATTCTATGTCTTCCTGACAACGCCATCAAAACTACCTGCAGGGTACAGTGGGAGACAAGACAGTAGGGAACATGGGGATGGAGCCTACTGCTAGGCTAATGGTGCCCCATATGTGAGCGCACAGCCCCAGAACAGGTGCTGGGAATTGGGCCAAAAAAGCTGGCTACTATCACCAGGGCCTGAACATATTCATGTGCCCTAGACTCAGGCAAGAATAGACCTTTACTCACACCCATCCATAGGGTACATCCAGTGAGGACCTAGCTGGGCACTAGGTCTGACTGTACAGGGCAATTACCCTTGAAACCTAGGGAGGCCACTCACTAGGATGCCGAACATTCACCAACCAGTGCTCAGCTAGCTCCTAACCAATGACACTGCAGTGAAGGATTTGTTCCTTTTTAAGCAAGTATACTTGCTAAAATGCATGATTTCAAATCTATCTTCTTTCACTGTAAAAGTTTCTTTCCAAATTCTAAAATATCAGAAAAGCTTTAAAAATTCATGAGTGGGCAGACGAACTCAATTGTGCAAAAATCTTTGTAAAAAAACTTGCCAGAGATCAGCAAAGGCAAGGGCCTCAGTGTCCTGGAAGGCGGCTGTTAGGGCTTTAAGACTTGATCAGAAAAGTGGACTGCAGCCCAGCAGCCATCTTGACACATCAGGAGACTAGCTGGATGTCCTCCTCACTGATAACATGGCTCACAGCAAGGGATGCAAACACCTTGATGGTCTGCCTGAAATGTGAAGAGTATTTACTGGTGCTAAAATTTTATTTAAGTCAAAATTATCTGAATACTCCTCATTTTAACTTTTTCTCAAAAAAGGGGGGGGGGGGCAGAAGGCAGATGATAAGGGACCTTCTGTCCCAACAGTGGCTCCAAAGGAGTATGGGCAAAGGAGCCACCTGGCATCACAGTCCACCAGAACCATAGGATTTGGCCTTATTATCTCATCTGTTATCCAAGTATTTCTTGTCAGTGCATATTATGTACTAAAATTCATGAAAACTTTCATAAAAACAGTCTGCAGCAGATAGATATGAGCAGGGTCTATAGCTGACTATCAGCTTCCAATTATGCAGTCACTCGAAGTTGATCCTTAAATGTATCCAGCCTGATGAGGCAGCTTCCAGGGAGAACTGTTGCTTGACATGTGTATTGTCACAACTGTCCCCACAGACCAGGGCCTGAGCCCAGATGCACTGCACCTCAGGGAAGGAACTTAGGTTGGAGTCCCGATGCTGCAGTGAACGGTTGTGGCTGGTGGTCTCCCAGGCAGCATTGCTGGCAGCCCCTGTACCCCACTAGTGTCGCCTACCTCACACATCCACAGTGCACAGAGGCTCACCACCAGGCTGCGCAGAAGCCACAATTGACATTTTGGGCTTCTTCCGAGTTTCCTCCTATAAGAACAAATGGTTGAGAGGTGTGCTCAGCAAGTGGCTCAGGAAGGGATAGACTGCAAGTGTCAGAATGCCTCTGGACTCTGTGAACTCCAGTGCTTATGAAGCCCCAGAATGGTAAGGCAGAGCACCATGTGCTGCTCCTTCCCTGACAAACAGAACCCAAAGGAAGAATCAGATACAGCCATAGCTACAAGCTGGGATTTACACTCCCCATCCCTAAGGTGGATATCACTATCCGACATTTTATTTCCTCCAGGGTGCCACAGCCCATCTCCCATCCAAGGGCAGGCTGGCCAATCCTGCTAACATTTGTCAGAAAAGGACTACCCCGCCTGAGGACAGGAGCACACCACTGAAAGGTCACCTGGCAGCAGACACCTACTCCTTAGACTCTATGACAGACCTAGCCCACAATGCCCAGGAGAAGCTGTGAATGATCAAGAGAACAGAGCCCTAGGGACAGGGACAGCCTTCTAAACAGGGTGCCCTTGGAGTAGAGTACCCATCGCAACTTTTGGAAGCTTCACCAACACCAAGCTCCACTTAGACTTAATTGTTATGTAACCTTTTGGAGTTTTCTGGGGCATGTGCCTGGTACTCTATCCTTGCCCTCAAGTACCTAACTCCAAATTGGAACAGAATCATCCCAGAGCAGATCTTTTCATTCAGCAGCAGGATGTCCTGCCAGCTCTAACTGGACTAAAATTAAGGTCCAATCTCACCTGGAAAGTAGGTACAAGTATTTCCAGAGTGTCAGGGGTGGGTTCCTAGGGTCTACTGTCCTTCCACACTGCTAGAAGAATGCTGACATGCAGCCCTTCATGCAGTGAGAGGACATGGGGTTGGCAGGTGCAACTAGAAGTACTCACTCGTTCTGCAGCCAGCCTCTTCATCTCCTCCTGCAGTTTGCTCAAGATGTGGAGGTTGGGTCTATTCTTCTTGGCATATTGCTGTAGTTCAATTACACTCTTGTCTGAGGTTTCCTGGGGACATAAAGCCTGCGCTCAAGACTTCCCAGTAGTAAATTATGTCCATGATTACATAAGACAGGAACATCGGGGTCTGGGAGGCACAGGACTGCATAGATACCCTGCCCATGACAGCACTTGCCCTGTTAACAGCCTCAAGAGTGTGATGGCAGTTCAAGACACTCTGGCTATGCTGCCTCACCTATCTCCTCCTCTGTGGGGAGTTCCACATTTTCTCCTGTATTGACAGGACAGCCAGGCCTCACCACACCAGAAGCCTTCAGGATAAGGACAAGAATGTAACTACAGCTATAACAGAGCACTGCCAGACAGAGCCCAACCAATCAGCAATCTGCACATCTCACAATGTGCAAAAAAGAATCAGCTATTCTTTTCCCCTTATTCTCTTCAGAAGGGGTGGGTGTCCACTGTGTCTTGAGTTGTCAGAGCTACTCCTGCATGGGCTGTACAAGGCCAAGACCACTGACCCTCTAGCTGAGGGATGTTTCCACCCAAACCCAAAGCAATGTTCTTTCTCCCTTAATCACAATCCAGGATTATGCACAGAAAGACAAAGAAGTCTTACACTCATTTACCAAAAATGTTTTATCCTGGGCCATAGCTTGGGCTCAGTGGGAGAAAGAACACAAGTGTAGCATGAATTAAGCCCTAGGTTCCATCCGCTGTGGACGCGGACAGTGAGTGTGAGGGTGGGAGCGTGTGTTGTTTAGAGCTCCTCTCCTGACGAAAGTCAAGCCCCAGGGGGCCTGAAGGGGTCATTCCTGACCAGTGGCTCAGCTCAAGGCAGGGTGGCTCAAAAGTCCCCAGCACAATCTTCAGGGTCATCCTATTTATAGCCTCCACTCTTCTACCCCTAGTATGCTACCATGGAAGGCCACTGAGAATCTTTTATTAAACATAGGGCATATAGCCCTGGAAGGGGCCAGGGGCCAAGGGCCTGTCTGCTGAATTTTCACATAACTCCACATCAGTGTGCACAATGCAATCTCCTTCCTGCTCTTACAGAGATCCTTCCTCACACAAAAACCCCTCTGCTCCCACACTTCACTGACCACTCATAGCAGTTTCAAGAGGATGTAGTTTAGAATACTCCCACACTGCATGACCATAGGTGTCACAAAGCAGAGGTAGCCAAGATCAAGAGCAATGTGGCTAAATACCAACCCTGATAGAATATCCCAGATAGGAGCTCCACGGTGAGAGTTTGGTTACCTGTTTGACCATTTTGCTGCTCTCACGACCATACATGCGCAGTAAAGACCCCCAGTTCTTGACATGTGGGTGCAGCAGCTGAAGGATTTTCTGAGAGGCTAATTGTTTCCCAACTCTTTTATTCTTACCTGTAAAGAGAAAGAACAAAGGTGGAGAGAGGGAGTCACACATCCAGACAGGAAAGTAACTGCCACCTGCCCTCCCTTAGCACCCCAAATGCCAGTAAGGGCATTCCACAGGAGGGTGGGCAGTGCCTCACCCCTGTGCTGAGCACCTAAGACTCACAGCCCTGAGGCCAGGATATAGCCAGACTGTACTTCAGAGGCTCCAAGTGAGGGTATGTACCCAAGACTACCAGCTAAGAGGCCTCTCTCCACCAACCATCTCCCATACTTCCTAGCAGACCAGCAGCCCCTCCACCTCCTAAAGCATAAAACTCAGTAAGGGCAGGTACCCTAGGGTAGAAACACCAGCTGCAGGACTTTCTAAGCAGGAGTTTTCCAGGCCAAGGAAGGCAGGGCCCAGGCTGGTCATACTGCTCAGCAGCTTAGCTGAGTGGCTCATGTTCAGGAACCTATGTTACTGGGGACTACAATTTGTGGGATGCAGAAACAGCCTGTAGACAGACAGCCAAAGCTGGTTTTAAACATGGTTCTGCTAGTTTATACAAAACTGGATTGTTATGTAGGGAGAGGAGGGGAAAAGGAAACAGTAATAGAAAGAGGTGATAAACTCAAAATACTGTGGGGATATAAAGACATCATTAGGAAGCTCACTAAATAAGTTGATTGATCATTAAGGGCAGAGAAGTCAGAGAAAAACGATCATCTCTGAAATACCATAGTGAAATCCTCTGGTGCAACTAATATATACTGAAAAACACAAAAAAATGAATGACAGGAAAGTAAGACACACTCAGATAGAGGATGCCAGAGAGAATGACTAGCAAAGTGAGAGAATAAGGATGAATATATTTGAAGTCGTTTATTTGCATGTATGAAAACAACAATGAACAGATTGCCAAGAGATGAAGGTTGTCCTCTCCGACAGCTTCTACTTGTTAGTGTGAGTCCAGTCAAAAATAAGTCTTTAAGAGTAATAAATAAGGGGCTGGGAAGGTGGCTCAGTGGTAAAGCGCTTGCCTTGCATGCATGAGGCCCTGAGTTTGATTCCTCAGCGCCACATAAGCAAAAAGAAAAAACCCGGAAGTGGCGCTGTGGCTCAAATGGTAGAGCACTAGCCTTGAGCTGAAGAGCTGAGGGACAGCGCCCAGGCCCAGAGTTCAGGCCCCACGATCGGACCCCACCAAAAAAATAAAATAAAAAGAGTAATAAATAAATGACTAGACCTTTAAAGGAAAAATAAAAGAAACCTGTTGAAATTGTTTTAAGGAGGTAATCTGAGAGAAAGTGATAGAAGGGGTAAGGATGATAGGAATACATTGGTATATATGTGTAAGAATGTCACAATAAAACCTCCTTGTACATTTAATATATACTAATTAAGGAGAGGGAAAAATTGGTTTTTAGTTACAATAGTTATTTGAAGTTCTTGTTTATAAATTCAGACTTTTGTGTGTGTATATGCTGGTTCTGGGGCTTGAACTCAGGTCCTGGGCATTGTCCCTGAGCTTTTCAGCTCAAGGTTAACACTCACCACTTGAGCCACAGCTCTACTTCTAGTGTTTTTTTTTTTTTTTTTGTGGGGGAGGTCCAGTCGTGGGGCCTGAACTCTGGGCCTGGGCGCTGTCCCTCAGCTTTTCAGCTCAAGGCTAGCATGCTACCCATTTGAACCACAGCACCACTTCGGCTTTTTTTTTTCTGCTTATGTGGTGCTGAGGAATCAAACCCAGGGCCTCATGCATGCAAGACAAGCGCTCTACCACTGAGCCATATTCTCAGCCCTCTACTTCTAGTTTTAAGTGGTTAATTGAAGCAAAAAGTCTCAAGACTTTCCTGCCCAAGCTGGCTTTAAACCTCAATCCTCAGATCTCAGCCTGGAGTAGTTAGGATTACAGGCATAAGACATCAGTACCCAGCAATTCAGATTTTTTTGAGACTACGTTGTCTAGGCTGGTCTTGAATTTGTATCCCCAAGTAACTCTCCTACCCTGGCCTCTCTAGGAGCTGGGACTCTGGCTTTAATGTTCAAAATGTGGTTGATTCAGATACAGAAGTAGGCAGAGCACAGATGTCTAAAAAACAGAATGTAAATGGAAAGGACAGCTGACACACCAGAAGGAACCTCTGCCTGCTGGGGCTTGGACTAAGGCCACAGTAATGGTAGAGAACTAAGCCACAGGTGGCCAGAAAGCTTAACTATCCTCTGAAAGCACTAGTCTGAGAGGAAGGCAGGGGAAGAGAACTAGTCCTTACACCATCCGCGCACTGTGTGTTTGCCGCATGCCATGACATATTCACTCTTCTGATTTTTCCCAGGAACTACTTCAAACTTGATAGATGTGTCACCCATTCCATGGTTTCTTTAAAAGAGAAAACAAAGACAATAAAGTAGTATCATCTGAGATGATGTATATGGTAGCTCCTTCAGAAGGCTGCTTTGGGAAAATCCATTAAAAGCTCTCAGAGGAAAAGACCAACTTACTTCTCCCCAAATTGCTTATGAGAAATTATATATCCATTTTAATCCAGGGAGCTCTTAACTAACAGCTCAAGCTGAGGGGATCCTGTATACCCAAGGGAAACTGACAATACCTTCACCAGTGGGGCAAACTGTCAACAAAGTTGTGAGATACCCAAGAGGAGCTCCTGTGACCGGACAAGGAAAGGAGGTACCCTACCGTTTAAGGCACTCGTGGAGAATCTGATATGGAGACAACAGCCCAGCCTTGCTGGTCAGCTCATAGACTCTTGAGTCCTCGATACTGATGTGGTTAAAATACTGCAACACAAAGCAAATGCTCATAAATCCGGCCTAAGACCAAGGCCTTTCAGAACTGATCCCCTACAATTTACTTCCCCTCCAGATCTCTTTATTACCTCATCTGAGCAAGTCATGTCCCCCCCCACATCCCTGCTAAAAAGCCACCAAGTGTGGAAGATACTCTATGCCTCACTGGCCAGTTGCTTTTTCCACCACCCACCATGACCCTAGGAACAGCTGAGCAGCCTGGGACACTTCTTTTCAATCTAATTCAATCAGAAATTCAACAATATATCACCTTCAGAGAGAACCTGTAACTTCATAATTGATACTATAGGAAAGATAAGCCCAAGCACTTTAAAAAGGCTGAGCTCTCAAGGGGCTGAATGCTCATAGATCAGGGGAATCCAGAAAGGGCCTGGATGACTCGTTTCCAACAATGTCATTGTGCTGACTGAACAATTATCACTTAGGACCAAGAACAGGTAGGGTAAGAAGGGCTAACAAGGAGCCAAGATATCCACTCAAGGGGAAAAGGAGGAAATTCTGCATAGCAAGTACAGGAAGCTAGAGCTAAGAGAGGTAGCCTCAAGGTATGTCAGACCAAGGGTAGCTTTGAATAAAAAGGACCTGACAGTGCAATCCCCTGCTTTGATCTTTGGCTGGACCCACAGTAGATAAATGTAGATAGTAAAGTAGATAGTAGACATTGTCCAGACCATGATGAAGCATAGACCAACTGTGAAGGGGCTGCAGTAACAAAGCAGTCATGCACTGATAAGGTATACCTGTCAGTGGTGGGTCACAAACACAAAATTGATCCGAGTGGCATCACAATTAGCTTGTGTAGCTATAATCTACAGTATTCATATAACTAAATCACCAAAGCACCCCATGACTGCACCACAGTGGCTTTAAACACCAGAAATGTATTCCCTCACAATTCTGAAAGCCACAAGTCAAAAAGTCAACATAGTTAGAAAGATCACAATCCTCTGGAAGCTTTAAAGGAAGACAAATCTTCTGGTAACACAGGCTCCATGGTTTATGGAAACACCAGTCTAGTCTTCCCATGGCATTCTCTCCCGTCTCCTTCCCTTCTTCATGTTAAGTGTACCAGGCACAATCACCCAGTGGCAGTATGACTTCATATCAACTAATTGTATCTGAAAGTGCCTTGTTTCCAAAAGAAGGCCACATTCTGAGGTACTTTTGGGAGACACACACAAGCCAGATCAGAATCCCCCTAAGATTTTGAGTAAAGGTTAAGTTTTCCCCATTGACAAGCAAGCATGAATGAAGAGCTTGAAACAGACATGAGACACCAGGGCGCACTAGGCAGAGAGACACACCAAGAGCCAACAGCCCTCTTAGAACTTCTACCAGCCTGCTGTGAAAAGGTCTGCACAAGCCTGGAGCACAGGCTTAGAGAAATGTCTGGAAACCTGAGGAAATGAAGAAGCCTAAAATCAAATGCCTTAAATTCAACACCTCATTGTGCAAGACCTAACCAAAATGAAATTGGTTCCTCTGCCCTTGCCTTGCTCCATTGCATGATACTGTGAAAGGAGGAAGAGGCCAGCCAAAACTCACCAGCAGAAACTCCAACTGTCAAGGATGCCTCACCTCAAGTGCTCACATCACTGTGGGAAAAAACACGCCTCTAGAATCAACCAAAAGGGCTGGCAACCATGTGTGGCACCCTTGCCTAGTTATGACCTACTCTAACTAACAGCTGGCACTTGAACTGTGATTCAAGCATCAGACAACCTGCTTACCCTCAGGCCTCAAGTTCCTTGGCACAGACCTGCAGGCACACACAGTAAAAAAGCACTCAAAAATCATGAAAACATGAAACCTCTGGTAAAGACCCACAACACGCTGCAGCAGGTCATACATGTTGCTAAGGATTAATCTGCTAAAGACACATGGAGATTCTAGCTCAGAAATACAGAAATACAGCAAAAGTAAACTGCAAATGATCACTGTTGCACTTAGGAGAAACTCAAGTGACTGGTGCCTTGAAAACCAGTCAACTAAAGAGATGACCTTCAGTCTGGATAACAAGGACTAGGACCCTGGAAAGCACAAACCTTCAGAATAGACTAATTAGCCCCAAATCTATCCAAGAAACCAAGGCTGCAGTTATAAACTTTCCAATCAAGACAACTTCAGGAACCAGGCCCAGTGAAAAGGAAATAGTAGGGCTGACACAGTGATTCAAGTGGTAAGATTACCTGTTTAACAAGTACTGTAATGCTAGCTACTCAGCAGACATAAAATTTGGAACATGGTGAATTGAGGTCAACCATGATAAAAGGTCCACTAGACTCCCCTCTGCCCCCACACCCCCCAAAAAAGCAGGACTAGAAGTCATGGCTCAAGTGGTATAGCTGAATTAAGGAAAGATGCTGAGCAAGCATAATGCTCTAGGTTCAAATCTCAACACTGGAGAAAAAACAAAAATACTTTAGGCTCAGAAGGCCTAAATATTTAAAGAGGAAATATCTAATTCTACTCAAAAACTTAAAGAGAACATTTCTCAGTTCAGTTCATGAGAATGAATAATGCCAGTTCAGTTCATGATATCAACATCAGAGAAAGACAACAGACATACACAAAGAAAACCTTACATAACACAACATTATGTCAAAAAACGAACTTTACAACTTTGGCGGGGGGGGGGGGGGGGGGCGAGATGGGAAGGGGAAACAAAGGAGGCGGCAAATAAGAAATATACTCATTACCTTGCCCATGTAATTGTAACCCCTCTGTACAGTATTTTCACAATAAAAAAAATTTCAAAAAAGAAAACCTTACATATTTTTTTTTGTATTTTTTTTGCGGGGGGGGGGTCCGGTCGTGAGGCCTGAACTCTAGGTCTGGGCACTATCCCGTAGCTCTTCAGCTCAAGGCTAGTTCGTGCTCTACCACTTGAGCCACAGCACCACTTCCGGCTTTTTTTCTTTTTGCATATGTAGTGCTGAGGAATCGAACTCAGGGCCTCATGCATGCAAGGCAAGCACTCTACCACTGAGCCACCTTCCCAGCCCAACCTTACATATTTTTAAGAAATGGATACAAAAATTCTAGAATGTGAGAAAACATGCCAGACATGGTAGTGCTCTTGGGAGGCTGAGGCAAGTAGATCATGAGTTTGAGACCAGCTTGGGCTATATAGCAAGACACTGTCTCAAAAAAGCAAAGAAAAAGTTGAAAATCTGAAAAACATTTAGTCACTAATGCTAAAATTCTCAAATGGTCATGAACCAACCAAATGTCAGCTACTTACAAAGCAACAAAATACTTCAAAGGGATAACAGTAAGTTTTGTGAAGAGGAAATAGTAGGGCTGACAGAGTGATTCAAGTGGTAGAGTATCTGCGTAACAGGTGTAAGGCCCTGAGTTCAAAGCCCAGTACAATATTTTAAAAAAACAGGAGCAGTTCTATTTTTTTATTTTTGCCATTTCAATCATGTTACTCAACACATTGTGCCGAATCTTTCCTTTCCTTTGGTGGCACAGGGGACTCAGGGCCTCTAGTGGACTCTACCGTCACTATAATGCACAGGCATCACCTGAAGGCTCCCAAAGCCCAGATACTCTCTCCATCATAACTAATGAAAAAACAGGCGCCAGTGGCTCACGCCTATAATCCTAGCTACTCAGGAGGCTGAGATCTGAGGACCACAGTTCAAAGCCAGCCCGGGCAGGAAAATCCATGAAATTCTTATCTCCAATAAATCACCAGAAAACTGGAAGTGGTGCTATAGCTCAAGTGGTAGAGCGCTAGCCTTGAGCTGAAGAGCTGAGGGACAGTGCTCAGGCCCAGAGTTCAAGCCCCACGACTGACAAAAAAAAAAAAAAGAATGTTGTCCCTGCGTCTCAGGATGACCTCTGAACCATTCTAACCTGGAAGGCCTCAGGAACAAGACAGAACTGCCATTACAGAAACAGGACATCTGCCCTTAGTAATCAGGCATGTGCTGCTTGATGCCCACCTCACTGAAGGAAAAACTACTTTCTCCTTTGACAAGTTGTAAATAGAATACATATATACAATTAAGTAAAACAATAAAAAAAAAAGTCTCCAGAGCATCTGGCACACATATGGAGGTACTCCTACACTGAAGAGTAGGATAGTGTTGGGAAGGTGGCTCAGTGGTAGAGTGCTTGCCTTGCATGCATGAGGCCCTAGGTTCAATTCCTCAGCACCACATAAGCAGAAAAAGCAGGAAGTGATGCTGTGGCTCAAGTGGTAGAGCGCTAGCTTTGAGCTGAAAAGCTGAGGGATAGCGCCCAGGCCCAGAGTTCAAGACCCACGACCAACAGCAACAACAAAAGATCAGTATTGTCTCTAGTACCCAACACAGAGTTCCTAAACCCCAGAAGATTTCTAGAGTAATTCTAAGGGTCCCTTGCTATTCAAAAGAAGCCCACAGGAAGTCAGGCCTACTAGCTCAAATCTATAATCCTAGCTACTCAGGAGGCTAAAAGATTACAGTATAAAGCCAACCCAAAGTCTTTTGAGACTTCATCTCCAATTAACCAACAAAATGCTAAACTAGAGGCATGGCTCAAATGTTAGATCACAAGCAGTGAACAAGCAAGAGTGAAAGGTCCTAAATTTAAGCCCTGGTTCAGGCTTAAACACACACATATGCAGCACGCGCGCGCACCCCCCCACATCCACACACAGACACCCACACCCACCGTACGGGCTAGGAATACAGGTCAGTAGATGGGATGGGGCAAGGAAAAAAGTGAGATAAAGAGAGGCCCAATTCCCACATTTTACTTTATGCTATTGAGATAGCTAAGATTAGGGATCTCTAGGTAGTTTCCAGATAGGGGCTAGTCCTCAAAAAGATGGAATCTGTGATTAGGAATAAGGGAGGATTGCTGGAGACTGAATTATAAAATCTCTGGGAGACTCAGGGAACAATGCCCTGGTTGAGGAGCATATTCATATGCTGAAAAGGGCACTGCATCCTAACCACAGAGGAACAGAGTTTCCT